GATACTAATGTTTGGAATAAAGCTTGTTTGAGTTGTTTGATCTTACCCTTTGATTGACTAGTTAAGAGCCAAGTACAGTGATTTTAAATTTTTGTCCTATGCTTTTAAAAGGTATTTTATTCTGAATTATAAATATTAAAAATTAATCATAACTTTGCCTGGTTTTCAGGATTTTGCTTTCATTGTAATAAAAAACAGAAAATATCAACAAAAGGCAATGTGTACAACGCCTAAATGAGTAAATTACTCAGAAGTTCATACTTTTGAGAAAATGAAATATTATACTCCCTCTGTGTCATATTAATCTTCCAGATAGATTTTGCACATATATTAAGAAAGTGGGAATTGTGTGGTTGAGAGTTGTGCAGAGGAGAGAAATGATATGAACCACAAATTCTTTTTCATAAAAGGAAATTGAAGATTATTTTGGGGCGGACCAAAATAGAAAGAATGAAGATGATTATGGGACAGAGGGAGTAATTTTTTACAGTGCAATGTTTTAATTATTACTCCGTATTATTTAGTTACTACCTCCGTCCCCCTATTTTTGGGTCGAAATAGAGTGGTGTGATTTATAAGAAAAATAGAGATATGTGGTTGATAATGAATTGATAAAGTGAGAATAAAGTAAGCATGAATTAGAGTTACACAAATATTACCAAATATGATATGGGACAAATTTAGTGGGCCAGACGAAAAAGGAAAAAAGAGACAATTATAGTGGGACGGAGGGAGTGTTATTTTTCTTATGTTATTAGTATGCATGATTGCATGGTCAATTTGCTAACTACCATTTGATGTTTTCTAACCATTCCGAAGCAAACCAAACAATGAAAATCCAGTAATTTCATCCTCAACAACCAAACAAAAAAAAAAATCAACTACCACTTCAGTTCCTATACATTCCCTTCCATGCACTGGCATAGACCCGTAGGTAGGGGGCATGCTGTTCCTGGGTCTACACAAGTCCGGTAAAAACGTTTTACTTCAAACAACAACATCCAAGCTTTAACCTCAAAAGAGTTTGGGGTCGGCTTACATGAATGGACATATGACATCGGAGTTAAAAACAAATAACTTCATGTGATATACTTAACGTTTTACTTTTACTTCATGCGTAAAAAAACAATTATGAATTAAATGTTTTGTCCAGCCCGCCCCAACATATTTTCCTTGTTTCCATGGAACACAAGTTCCATTCCTCATTAGTTCCTTTCCCCAAACCAGACAGTTTCAGAAAGGTGGAAGAGAACCTGCATCTCACTGTGGTCATCACTTTGGAGGATTATCCTGATAACAGGATCAAAAGAAACTTCAAAAATAGCTTTGATGACATCAATTGGTGCATCCTGAAATTTTAAATAAGGTAAAATATGTTTTAATTATTATGAGGTAAAATATAAATTCAACCCAAAATTTGAAGTAACACTAATGCCACTATAACATTGCACATCACACCTTCAACAACATTGTCAGAAGATCTAGTGAACCAGCTACTAAACCTTCAGGCTGCTGTTGTGGCTAAATGAGTGCCGAAGTTTTAAAGAAAATTCAAATTAGTGTTGATCTGCAAATCACACATAAGGAAATTCTCAAAAGATTTTGCATCATACTTTAGTCAGCACTTGCCCAACATACGGTAAAATTCGGGAAACCAAAGGCTGGATGCAACCAGGAGCTGTTTTTATTGCCTAGAATAAGGATAGCAGAGTATTAGAACTGAAGTCAGAATAGTAAACAGTACTCATAGATGACTGATAGAAAAAGTCAAATAAAGCATACTAGTACCCAACCAGTAACGTTAAGAACTTCAATGGCAAACGGGCAAAAAAAGAGAGGGAGAATAAAGAGAAAGGGAGCTAATATAGTATCTGGGCATCACCATAATTCAATTTCAAGATTTCATTTAGAGATAATTAATTGTGTACCTCCATTTAGACCCACATTCTACATTCAGTCTTAGGATCTTTTTTACTGAAAATGTACATCTACACATGAACTCAATACTCCCTTGATATATACGGAGTTATAACTGCCAAGACAGCCAAGTAAATACGAAATGGCAATGAAGTCATTTTACTATATCTTATTGGATTTCTATGGGTGGTAATTTATGTGTTTTAAGGGAGTCATTGTTAACAGTAGTGGATTTCATCCATAAAGATTATAGAGTGCTACCTCTAAAACTTCTAGAGCATCAATGCTGGCAAAAGGGTCTGTGACATGTGAAGCCCACACATTAAGAATGATAGGAGAAAGAATGGACTCCACTGATGGCAATAGTTCCGGACCTACAATTAATAGATCACAAAATAAATTTACAAAATATAATAACATTACAGCTAGGCATAAGTCATCTTAAATTTTGTGGATGAGCTATAACCTGCCCTGACAGCAGCCTGTAGTGTCTCAAGCACCAGATGCATAGTTTCGTCAGATGTCTAGGAAGGCAGTATGCAATTTGAGAAGGTTAGATTCACTTGATTCCAATAAGAAGAACAAGAAATAAAAACAACTACAAAAGAACAATGAATTCCAATCATAACTCCATACATGCTCAAGTAGGTTGGTGAGTGATGAAATTAAGTCCTTGATATGTGGCCAAATGACTCCAGAGTCTGCATCAGTTAAAAGCTGTGAAAGTGCTCGACAAGCACCTGCTTTTACAGGAGGAGGCCTGCACACATTAATGATCAAATTATTAACATTCAGAATGCTGTATTTTTTTAACCAGTAATGTCCATAATACATTAAGCTCTTAGTTTCCTACACATCCATGCCAACTGCCTTAACAGCCGCATACACAAACTGCTCATTAATTCCACGGCTGATCTGAAGAGCATAAACACAAAGATTAAGCACAATCCATATCATGGCTTTAGTGTCAGAAAGATTCAAGCATTACCACAGAGGAAAACTTAGCAACAGATGAAAACATACGAGCATAAAGAAAAGGATATTCATCAACCCCTGGAAACAAAAAATGAAAAAGAAACATATGAAAATAGAATATGTTATATTGGTACGAATGTACGATATGGTAGCACCAGTTAAGGTAATTAAGTAGGAGATAACGAAACTATCTGCATAATACTCCTCCCTATGAAACTATCATCAAGCCAGTTCTGTAATTTCTAGATTACAACATCAAAAGAAATACAAATTAATATACAAAAAGAAGACTTACCTGTTGCAATGTCTTCTATAAGAATTTTCTCCAAGATATTCCCTACTGTAGCACCACATTTTTCCGAAACCTGTGAACAAGTCAACAAAGTATAAGATGTAAAAAAGAATACTTGCATATTAAGAGAACAAAAGGGTCGAGAAAGTGAGCATTGAGCAAGATTCCTAATCGTGGAGAAGGATGACAGCAACAGTATATTATTTCATTTTCTTGTATATGCTTTTAGTTTCTTTTCGTCCAGAGCTTAGATTCAACAAATAGAGATGAGAAATAGTACAATAAATAATATACTGCCCAATAAAAAAAAAGGTATTTGTTTCCCTGTTCTTTTACAGGGTAAAGATTACATATGGCACTAACCTCTGTTTCAAGTAGCTGCTCTGACACTGAAGCCAATGCAAAAAGGGTAGCCTCACGTATCTGCAACATAAAAACAAAAAAGTTGCAAAAAATTAGTTATTGGCTAGTTCTTCACCTAAAAATCAGATAAGTATGAGTAAAAATTAAGATTCATTTGGGCTGACATGCCAGCATCATTCAACTTACTCTCCACCAACCCGGGGATCCAGCAGTCTTCTCTTGCTGTGATTCATTAAATCTTTTTTCTGCAGATTCAATTATAGCATTTATTCCCTCTGGGCCACAAGAGTTTATCACCTCTTCCAGTAACAATGCACCTGAAATCAATGTCTGGATTAAGGAAAATGTGCAAAAGAAAACAATATATAATGCACAAATTGTGACCAGTTGTCATGTTAGTATTTTGTGAGTTTATAATTTTTGAACAGTGAAACACTTACAAAGGTTAAAACACTTGATGTATAATTTTTATGTGCATGACATCTAAGACATAATGACATGCTAATTTTTTGCGGAATAACAAACTTGTAATGATAATTTTTTGTTACTGCGCGTATCACATTACCACGAAGGCACAAATGAAATTGTAATTGTATTTCAACATTAAAGCAAATTATAGACACCTATTTTTACTTCTCACGCCTAACAAATCATTGACCTCCCAAAAACAACTTACCAGAAGCTCGACAACTATAAGTATTATCCTCCTCATCAGCAAGGAATTGATTGGCATCCATCAACCATGTGTGGGCCTAGAGTAAAACAATGTTAAATGCAGAAGGAAAATAGAAAATAAAAAAGTTACTACAGAACCGCAAATATTGAATTAGTATGACTTGCTATTTAGGAGTATGAAAAAAGCTAGAGAATAGAGTTCAACTACTGAAAGCATGAACACAGAGTCACAGACGTAAGCATTAACGGTGTTGGACTACGGTAAATCGGTGAAATGGATTATGTGGTTATCTGCTGTTCGCGGGCTAAATTACTGTTTGGAACAAAGCACTTCCTCTGTTTCATATTGAGTGTTGTTTAAAGATCATGCACAGGATCAAGAAACTCATTAGTAGTTACTTTTATAACTAAGATGGTCAATAATAGCAAAGAGGGGAGTACTATTAAATGCGTTCTACATTTTATTGAACCAAGAAAGGAGTACATCCATTTAGAAACCTGTAACTGTAATCTCAACTTCACCTATACATACAAAACAGACCACTTCTGAACCTTTCCGATTGAAGATGTGAAAGACATTGGAATATGCTGTATAATATGCTTTAGAATATTCTTCTATCTTTAGAATATGCTTTAGAATATTTTAGGAATATACTCTAAGATATTATTATTGTATAGCATCTTATAGGAATATTCTATCTTTGTAATGTATATATATAGGGACTTATCCCTCCAATGAAATACACAGAAAATTCTTCCATTCTCATTACTATTATATGCTTAATTCTGATAACATGGTATCAGAGCCTCCATTTCAGTTTAGTTCCTTTTCTTTTAGATTTTAGCTTGGTTTTTCATACTGGGTTCTTCCTCAAAGAAACCTGAGTTCAGTTCAGATTCTTCAGAACCTCTAGGCACCATTCTGTCTCCCAGAAACTCACCCCAGGACAGATTTATTTTTTAGCCCTCTCTATTCAGAATCTCTGCCAGGTCCGACCATCTACCCAGCGAATTTCCGACTCCGACAATTACTCATTCAGTCTGTGGACATACGCACACTATTTCATGTGGCTGATTATTCGTTGGGGTCTGGCATCTGACTTATGTCTAGAGTAGCAGTCAAAGCCCAAGCAGATTGTATCTTTTGTTCTCAAGCCCAAAACGAGCTGCTGTAAGTTCTCATTAAATTAAATATCTCAGTTTTAAACTTTATTACGGTCTCAAAAAAAAAAAAAAAAAAGAAAAAAAGAAAAAAAAAATGCCTGGTTCTGACACTGACACCTCCGCAGTAACACAAAGTCAGTCTTTGATAGTTTCTGAAGTTATTCCCATTAATTTTAAAATTACTGAGAATAAACTTTGTGGCTCCAATTATCTTGAATGGAGTAAAACTATCAAACGTTATTTAAGGAGCATTGATAAATATACCCACTTACTTGATGACCCGCCAAAGGAGGAGGTTGATAGAGCTGCTAATACTGCCTGGCTTCGTGACGATTCTAGATTATTTATCCAGATTCAAAACTCAATGGAGAATGAGGTAATGGGGTACGTTAGTCATTGCGATACTGTGAAAGAACTGTTTGATTATTTGGAATTTATGTATTCTGGAAAAGGTAATCTTAACCACATCTATGAGGTGTGCAAAGCCTTTTACAGAGCAGAAATGAAAGATAAGCCTCTCACGGCTTATTTTATGGATTTCAAGAAAACCTATGAAGAGCTGAATACATTAATGCCATTTAGTCCTGATATCAAAGTGCAGCAGAAACAAAGAGAACAAATGGCAGTGATGAGTTTTTTGGCTGGTCTAACATCTGAATTTGAAACAGCCAAATCACATATCTTATCTAGTGATGAGGTCTCTTCTCTTCAAGAGTCTTTCACTAGAGTGCTTCGCACCGATACTTCATCCACACCATTAGCACCTCAGTCAAGCAATGCATTTGTAGGGCAAGTTCCGACATTCACCAGAGGAGGTGAGAAATATCCACGTACTGGTCCATCTGGCAAAGGCATAGTATGCAACTATTGTAAAAAGCCTGGACACTTGATCAAAGATTGTAGAAAATTAAAATTCAAAAATCAAGGAAATCAGGTTGCTCACATTGCTTCCGTTACACAGTCTTCTGATGGATCAATAAGTATGTCTTCTGAGGAATACGCCAAATTTCTTTGCTACCAAGAGACTCTAAAGCATTCATCTACTCCTATCTCAGCTGTCGCTAATTCAGGTAATCCAAACACATGTCTTGTGTCTTCATCCTCAAAATGGGTTATCGATTCAGGGGCAACAGATCATATGACAGGTAATCCTAGTCTTTTTTCCTCATTCCACACACCTCTTCATACTTCTAATGTTACTTTGGCTGACGGATCTACGTCACCAGTTCTTGGAACGGGTACAATTGTCCCAACACCTACCTTACCTTTGTCACCCGTCCTAAGTCTCCCAAACTTTGCCTTTAATTTGATTTCGATCAGCAAAATCACACGTAATCTTAATTGCTCTGTAACTTTTTTTCCTGGATATTGTGTTTTTCAGGATCTGGTGACGAATCGGGTTATTGGTAAAGGATATGAGTCGGCTGGTCTCTATCTCTTGGATACATCCTTACCCAAATCCATCTCTTGTCTTGGAGTTGGAACTGTGTTAGAGGCTCATTATCGACTAGGCCATCCCTCTCTCCCGTTGTTAAAGAAACTTCATCCTCAATTTAATAAGGTGTCATCTTTACAGTGTGATTCATGTCAATTTGCAAAACATCATCGAACTAGTTTAAGTCCCCGAGTCAATAAACGAGCACATGCTCCTTTTGAACTTGTTCATTCTGATGTTTGGGGCGCTTGCCCTGTTGTGTCCAAAACTGGTGTTAAGTATTTTGTTACCTTTGTTGATGATTATTCTCGTATGACTTGGATATATTTCATGAAACGTCGTTCTGAGTTATTTTCTCATTTCTGTGCCTTTTGTGCTGAAATTAAAACTCAATTTAATGTACCTGTTCGTATTTTAAGGGGAGACAATGCTCAAGAATATTTGTCTTCCTCATTTAAGTCGTATATGGCTCAACATGGCATCATTCATCAAACTTCATGTGTAGACACACCTCCACAAAATGGAGTTGCTGAACGAAAGAACAGACATCTATTAGAAACTGCGCGGGCTCTTCTATTCCAAATGAATGTGCCTAAACAGTTTTGGGCAGATGCTGTGTCTACCGCATGTTTTTTGATCAATAGAATGCCATCTACTGTTTTGGATGGTAAAACTCCATATCAGTGCCTATTTCCAAATAATGAAAATTTTCCTATCCCTCCTAAAATATTTGGTTGCACTTGTTTTGTACGAGATGTTAATCCCCATTTAACAAAGTTAGATCCCAAGTCATTAAAGTGCATTTTCTTAGGCTACTCTCGAGTTCAAAAGGGTTACAGATGTTTTTGTCCAAGTACGGGTCGATATCTTGTTTCAATTGATGTCTCCTTTTATGAAAATACACTGTTTTCATCAACAGAGACAAATATTTGTAGGGAGAATGATGATATACTCATTTACACAGTCACTATACCCGAGTCACTATACCCGAGTCCACTGCTTCAGCCGTTGTTCCACATGTTACTTTTCCTGAGCCTAGGCCCCCGGTACACTTGGTCTACACCCGTCGAAACAAAGTACAAGATCACCCTCCACCTGTGGTTACTTATCCTGATACTGATCCGATCTCGATCTCATGTCCTGAACCAATACTTGCATCTCCAGATCCTGCCTCTACATCAGATCTTGACCTCCCGATCGCACTACGTAAAGGTACACGGTCTTGTACTCATCCTATTTCTTCATTTGTGTCGTATAATCAGTTATCATCTACCTCATGTTCTTTTATTGCTTCCATTGATTCTATTTCTGTTCCCAAATCTGTTAAAGACGCTTTGTCTCATCCTGAATGGTGTCATGCCATGGTAGAGGAAATGAATGCTTTGGATCTTAATGGTACTTGGGATTTGGTAGACTTGCCTACAGGGAAGAAATCTATTGGATGTAAGTGGGTCTTTGCTGTAAAGGTTAACCCTGACGGATCCGTTGCTCGTTTAAAAGCCCGATTAGTAGCGAAGGGTTATGCTCAAACCTATGGTGTTGATTATTCTGACACTTTTTCTCCTGTTGCTAAATTAACATCTGTCAGGTTACTTATTTCTCTCGCTGCAACTAATGGTTGGCACTTACATCAGTTGGACATTAAAAATGCATTCTTGCACGGTGATCTTCGAGAGGAAGTTTATATTGAGCAACCTCCAGGGTTTGTTGCTCAGGGGGAGTATGGAAAAGTGTGTCGACTTCGCAAGTCTCTTTATGGTTTGAAACAGAGTCCCCGTGCATGGTTCGGGAAATTCAGTCAATCAATTGAACGATTTGGAATGATAAAGGGCAAATCAGATCACTCTGTATTTTACAGACGAACAAAAGCAGGTATCACATTGCTTGTGGTGTATGTCGATGATATTGTGATTACAGGGAGTGATAATGCAGGTATTTTGGCTCTTAAGAATTTTCTTCATAGTCAATTCCAGACGAAAGATTTGGGCTCATTGAAATACTTCTTGGGGATTGAGGTTATACGGAGCAAGAAAGGCATATTTCTATCTCAACGTAAATATGTGCTTGACTTGCTAACTGAAACAGGGAAACTGGGGGCAAAACCGAGCAATACTCCCATGATTCCCAATGTGCAGCTCACTCATGAAGGCGTACCATTCGAAGATCCAGAAAGATATAGAAGGTTGGTTGGAAAGCTTAATTATCTCGCAGTTACCCGTCCAGATATTGCATACTCAGTGAGTGTAGTAAGTCAATATATGTCATCTCCGACAGTTGATCATTGGAATGCTGTAGAGCATATATTATGTTACTTGAAGGGGACACCAGGACGAGGTATTGTTTATCAAAATCATAATCACATGCGCATAGAATGCTTTGCAGATGCTGATTGGGCTGGATCTAAAGATGATAGAAGATCCACATCTGGCTATTGCGTCTTTGTTGGTGGTAATCTCGTCTCTTGGAAAAGTAAGAAACAGAATGTGGTTTCTCGTTCGAGTGCTGAATCGGAATATCGGGCTATGGCACAATCGGCATGTGAGATAATCTGGATAAACCATCTATTGAGTGAAATCGGACTAAAGACACCAATGCCTGCTAAACTCTGGTGTGATAACCAGGCTGCTATACACATTGCCAACAACCCAGTGTTTCATGAGAGAACAAAACATATTGAGGTCGATTGTCACTTTGTTCGAGAAAAGATACAACAAGGATTGATCTCTACAGGATATGTGAAGACGGGAGAGCAACTTGGAGACTTGTTCACTAAAGCACTAAATGGAATTCGTGTTGGTTATTTATGTAACAAGTTGGGCATGATAAATATCTATGCTCCAACTTGAGGGGGAGTGTGAAAGACATTGGAATATGCTGTATAATATGCTTTAGAATATTCTTCTATCTTTAGAATATGCTTTAGAATATTTTAGGAATATACTCTAAGATATTATTATTGTATAGCATCTTATAGGAATATTCTATCTTTGTAATGTATATATATAGGGACTTATCCCTCCAATGAAATACACAGAAAATTCTTCCATTCTCATTACTATTATATGCTTAATTCTGATAACAGAAGACTTAAAGTATATGCAAAATATTAAAAAATAAAAGGAATAATGGACAAGAATAATCCCAATTATTAGTGACTTGCTTGAAATAATCCAAAGTATCAATTATCTCAAAATAATCCCAACTGTTGAAAAATCTTCTCAAAATACTCCACTTACTCATAAATATTATGAGTTATTTATGGATAATTATAAGTCACTGGATTATTTTGGGAAGATTTTTCAATAGTTGGGATTATTTTGAGATAATTGATACTTTAGATTATTTCAAGCAGATCACTAATAGTTGGGATTATTCTTGTCCATTTTTCCAAAATAAAACTACTTCAAACTCTAAATCAAAAAAAATACATTTAACAATATTAATAAATAGTCTCACGAAGGGATAGACTCAACCGAACAGTACAAGACATAACTCAACAACAATAAATGAGTAAATGCCCCACCACCACCAGCACTCTCACGCGCACAGAAAAGATCACATGAGAAACTAGTGCTAAATTTATAACGGAACAATAAAGCTTCTAGTCTAAGTAACAAAGCTAAATTTCTGCAACACGATATGTAACTTCTAATGAGTTTCATTTCCTATTTCTGCTTATCCCGTTTCTTTTGTGATAAACTTCCAATAATTATACTAAACTTCAAAAGCAAAACTTATAACTTGTAACACTGCTCAGCTGATCACCTGATCTGCTCCCTGTATGTATGTGTGTGTTGTGCGTGTGGAAACACTGTCCAAACACACGGTGGCAATGTGGCATTTGAAAGAACAATATTTGTATAAAAGCACTCCGTGTCTCCGTCAAAACCTAGAATAATGGGGCTACTGTGTGATTTGTTTGGAGGTGGTAGCTGAGATTTCCTTCCTCGCTGTCTTCGGTCCGGTGGTTTGTTTTGATCATCAGAAGATACTAAGTTCTGTTTTCTTCCTAGTTTGTCTAGGACTCTGGTTGTTGGAGGCAGACGTCCTTGAAGGTGGGTGACCATGACAGCGTTTCTAAAGTCACTGGTGGAAGACTTGGTCACTAATCGCGGGATGATGAACAAAGAACATGTGGGGGCTGATAGGCAACCTCGCCTGTGCGTGTAGGTGGTCACTCGCCATCTGCCGTGGGGTGGCCATGACTGTGGGGGGGGATTTGTCTTGGTTATGGCATCTGGTTAGTAGCTGGTGAAACTGGTGTTAGGGTGTAAATCGTTGTGGACGCTTACCGGAGGCTGGTAGAATCGGTGGTGTTGAGTGTGTGGTTCAGGCTTCTGCTAGTCAAGTTCTTTCCTTCTCGGTGGATGGTTGAACCGGGACTACTGCATCCTAAAAAGGGAATTTGAAACCAAACCTTTCCAGTAGCACCGTAGCAGGCAAAACTGAATATTCCCATTAGAATATTTGCAACCTTGGGTGATTAGATGAGAAATCCAAATTTGGGTCTGTTGACCAGGTAAATGATCCACGTTTTGTGTAGAATCCATGTAGTTGGTGGTGCCAAAATGATAATATTGACCCCAAGGGATGGGAGAATTCACCTAAAGCAGCCAGCGAACTGAAAAGCAAAAATCCTGGGAAAGGAGGGAGAAGAGAGGCGGGCCCTCTGCACAGCAACTGAGGCTGCTTATTCCTTGGTTCCACACCTTATTCTACAATTGTTCCATTCAATTATTTTGGGGAAAATCCCGAAGTAGGAGTAAAAACGTTTTGGAATCCCGAAATAGGAGTACTATGTTTTATTCCCTAATAGGAGTAGTTACGGTCAAGCTTGGAAAATACTGCCACGTTTAAAGTCTAGTAATGCAAAACATGGCAATAATTACTCTTACTTAGGGAATAAAAACATAATAATCCTGTTTTGGAATTCAAGAGTGTTTTTACTCCAATTTAGAGCAATTTCTTAATTATATTTCTATTGTTTTTCAATTATTTATTGTTTTTTGGAAAAACATAAAAACTCTAAGTTCATTTTTTACATCAAAATGTGTGTTCTTTACTATTATAATTATTCGTAACAAAGTTTAGTCAAAAATAATTATTTAAAACAACAACATTAAGAATGTATTTATATATTGACGGTCATTGGGTTGCAGGGAAAAATTCAATTGATAGAGTGAATACGCTGTTTTTGTATTGATGGAGATGGATTGTGAGTAGCCTTATGTTTTTTGAATTAAAAGTGCTAGTAGAATTAGTTAAGTATTTCAGAGTTCACGTCTATTGGGGTTGTCTCTGCTTATATGTGTGATCTAGTTAGCCGATTATTTTGTTCTTCAAGATTGTACTCTTTATGATTTAATGAAGTAAGTTTGCCCCCTCCCCCAAACATGGTGGCATTTGTGTAAATAATATGAATTTTTCATATCACCATAATGAATGAAAGAAAGTAGATCATTTGCTTCATTCACCGTTCACAAGGAAGGTGTGATTCTCATCTGACTACACCCCTACATATGTGTGTTCGAATGTGGATAAAGTGAATTTGTTTGAAGACTAATGGCTCTAAAAGGCCCATAATGCTGAAGTGCTTATCAAAACAGTGGTAGTTTTGTACTCTATTAGATCAAACTTTTTAAGCCGCCACAAAAGGTGCATTATTTTATAAGATACAGAAAAATGCACCGGTGTTAACCAAAAGTGCATTGATTGCACCTTCGCACTTGGGCTTGACCCCTTCATGACGGACTTGTCCTCAGAAAGAGCATGTTGTATTTATACAGAAGTTGAGGTTAAGCTCTTGCACCCTAAGCCGAGGCATTTATAAGCCCTCAAGGAATTGACAAAATCCGGAGGAAAATTTAAGCCCTTGCACCACGGGGAGGAATCATCGTTTTAGATGCTCCCTTCATATTCTCTAAGAGTTGACCACTGAAAGAGTATGGCATAAGCCAAGTGGACAAACTACTTAATAGTTCGGCCCTTGAGG